TTTTACTATCTCCACCAGAAGACAGTGACACCAAGTCAGTGCCATTAAACATCTAATGGAAAGAAAATCAAAGACAGTTTCTCATCAATAATGAACAACTAAAAACAATTTCTTAAACATCAATATCAATATTGCATCAACACATTGTTACAGTCACTGCGATAACTGTAACCTGGGCGCCTAGACAAAGTTGACCAATCAGATTACAGGAAAACCACAATACATTTCGAGAAAATTAGTTGTCAATCACAATTACCACGAAACCAAATAAACAACATGGATCAAAATCAACCAATTACAACTGACAGATGTGACCTTTGGAACCCACTGAAGATAGCATACGTTTCCCAAGAGGTCAATTTAAGAGTGAATGATGGAGGTGAAAAAATGTAGATGATAATTATATATTTTTGACTTGCGGTTGCAATGTTATTGCAAAGCGCACAAATAAAAGTGAAGAAATTGCTGGTAGATGACAAAATAAGATCTTGTGTCAGAGAAATAGGTCTCCTGGGCATTGTTTGCTTGAAATGTATTGTTTTCTGCAATTCAATTTTACCTTAGTGGCCCCGGTAAAAGTAGTCACACTATAAGAGGAACCCTCTCTCGCGCCTGCAGAAGTGTCTGCTTATTTCAAATTCATTTGGGAGAAAAATCATGGAGGAGGGGGGGGGGAAATTTTTGGAACTCATAAGAGAGGGGTCCCACCTGTTTTCCTTTATATTTCCACTTTGAAATAAAATTGATGATCATGTGTAAGTTTACATACTAGAGGTCGATTGGATGGTGTATTACATGCAGATGCTCCAGATGCTTCCTCCACATCGTCATCTAGCTTTAACTATAAAACAAACACATAAAAGAATTGAGAACCAATGTACAGTGTAATAAGCTATAGGGCATCATGGACATCATACAAAACTTACTCATTGTAGGGTTATCACTTTCCCAAGCTACGTTAATCCTAAGTCTGGAGTTTCCCAACATCAAAATTGAAAAAAATTATTCCGGGTTTCTTTTCATGACAACTGGAACTATGCATTACCCAATTATATTTTGTGTCTTGCCTTGAATTCTCACAAATTGCAAGCTAACATATAATGTATAGTGTAGAAGGCACTGTCACTAAGGCTTAAGAACAATACAGCTTAGACACAGCATCATCGATCACTCTTTACAAGTTCAGTCTCACAGATGTGAGGCACAGAAAACTGCTGTACACTACAGGCACCTCTTTTGCTATCACAAAACAGTTTGAAACTGGAGCAGTGTTGTCACTTGGCCATCAACAAAAAGATTTGTATCAATTAAAGTACAAAAGCAGTGGACATCATCATCCTGCTTACTATGACCTAGTACATACCATAGCACACCCTTTTAAAACTCTGCATCACTATGAGGAAGGGAGAGAGTGGACTGAAAGTTGACAAAGTTGAGACACTACCATCTTTGCCCTAATTATATAATTCTTTCACCTGTTGCTTGCAGATGATTAATTTTATTATATTAACAAAAAACTTGAGAGAAATCCTGGGATAGTATTAAACACTTTTAAGGTCAGACAATTTTGACATTAGGTTCACAACATTATATTTGTACATTTGACCCTTTTCTTGCTAGGAGCTGGAGGGGAGATGCTGTGTGCCTCACCATCCCTCCTTTGATCCAGCACTTTCTTTTCAATCGAAGAGACTTTTTCCAGCAATAGATCATTTTTTTTTTCTATACTGTCCTTCCAATTATCCTGTGTGATAAAAAACCAAACTATCACAACAATAACATGTCCTGTGTATCCCTTTCCATTTATAACTGCAGTATTACTCCATCAGACAGATAACATTAACCACTGGCCTTATTGTTGTAATGGGAGAGCTGGTCACTCACAAAACAAAATCCTCATGAAAGTTAAGCATCAGTGTGCAAAGAAAGTCGTGTCCAATAGCCTGGGGCTAGTGGATTTTGCTATCGGACTAGTGATTTTTGTTCTTAACTTGCCCGAAGGGCAAGTGCTGTATTTTGGGGAAATTCATATTACAGAAGGACTGTAAACAATCCTGCTAATCAAAAATAGTTTTGGGGCTAGTTGAAATGACTTGTGGGCTAGTATACATGCTAGCTACAGCTTGACTGAATAGCAAGCTATGAAACTGACTTTCTTTGCACCCTGAGCATATTAATGTAGATAATTAAGACGCTATCCATGCTTTTAAATTCTTTAAACTTGTTGCTCATCAGTTTAAGGTCTCCTTACTTGTTGTATTGCCACATAACAGTACTAGAATAACTGGTACAATTTTTATATTTAGAGTTCTAGTATATCTGAAAATTGCTACTCACGTCTAATGTTAAGGTACTGTCACCAGTCCAGTCAAAACTTGCTCCAACATCATCTTCCTCTTCACTCTCAGAGTCAATATCTTGCTGGAATGAATAGCATTAGAAAATAGAAGGGCTTGATTTTGCATGCAGTAAGGCCTGTTTCAAATGTCGCTACTGCCGTGTCAAACTCAAATTAATTTTACGCACTCAGTTGCACAACAATAGCAAGGGAGTGGTTTCAAACTTCGAATTTAATTCAGTCACGCCAAATTCAAAATAAAGAAAACATCACAGTCATGCACAGTAGTGTAGTGTCAAAGCGCTTAAACATATACACAATGTACATTTTCATAATTTATGAATTGAGGCGATGTTTGGCACCGATCTTTGCCAGTCTGCAGACCCTGTTGAATGTTATTGCAGTGTAAAACTAAATTCAAGTTACCAAACTGAATTATTTCAAATTAATGTTGTGCCACTGATGTGCTAAAGTAAATTTCATCTATCAATTGGGTTTGGCACAGCAGTAGCATCATACTTGAAACAGGCCTAACACAAATATATTAAAAGAAAAATGTTTAAGGTTGCAGTGTGAAAAGTGGATTACAAAATTGAGAACAACTGGGGAAAATACTCTTGATTATATGAACCTAGATAAAAATATCGCTTGGTCTAGCTGGCATTATAACTGAAAAAGGTATTGTTAAAAGTATCATATTCATCTACGCACTTGGATGTTCCTGTTCCAGCTTCTCCAGTTTTTTTATTTCCGCTGCAGTGTCTTTTTCTAAAACAGTGACAATGAAAGAAATCACATCAGCCAAAATGCTTTTCAGAACTTTCTTTTCAAATAAATATTACTAATACTGATAACACAACAACACTTTTTTCATTTGACATCATCAATATCACCACCATTATCACAATCACTATCTTTATTATCATTACTAACTATTATGACTATTATTAACCATTCAAAAACACAAGGGGTATTGGGAAAATGATTGAATATTTTGGTTCACTTATACAGGTCAAGTGTTGTTTAAATAAACTCAACAAAGAAACAACTAAACCTTGGCATTGTAAACTATATACAGGGGAAAGTGACAGGCTCACCTAACACATTTTTCCCTTTTTTGCCATTTCCTTCCACGTTTCCCTTACTTGGAACCTCACTTCCATGGGCAGCACTAGTGAGACTATTTAAGCGCGCAGTGCAGCCATCCTCGGTGCCTGGGTGAAAAAAAGAAGAACAACCATGGCATTAAAAAAAAAAAAATTAAGCACACCTACAATTTTTGCTGCAATCATTATTACACCCTGAAACATTTACATGGGAAAATGGGAACCTGGCTGAGAGGGTTCTGCAATACAGCAGACTGGGCAACCCCTCAGCAGGTCATATAAACAATTACTCCATGAACGAGGTGGGTTTCCTCACCTTGAGTGGGTTTTCCGACTCCCATTTAAACAGGCCCTAAATCAATGATGATTGACAATGCGGCTTGATTGACACAGTCTTTCTCATAGTTGGAAAGAGGATCAGTGTAAAGGTAAAGACACAATTTTTTGTAAATAAAATAATGGCTTGTTTGGACTTCAAAAGGTACATGTGTGCATTTTTGTTACCAACAACCAACTTTCTTGGAATGTATTGTTATTTTCCTGTAATCTGATGGGTCAACTTTGTCAAAGTGGCCCCAGTTAAAGTAGTCACACCATGAAAGTTTTGATTTCTGTCAGGCACTTACAGTTTGTACTTCCGCATTATCTACGAATGGGGTCATGAAAATTCAAAATCCAAAATCACCAAGGATTATATTTGTCAGGTAAAATTTCTCTTGAAAATCAAAACTCTCTGCATGTTTTGAACCTGATGGAGTGTTTCCTTTTTAAACTGAGCTTCCACTTACCTGCTTACTTAAGCCCTACTTATGTAATATTAAGCTTACATTTGCCAATCACAAGGACAAATGAACAACCATTGCATTTCTAACAATAAAGCCAGAGGACAGAACAGTAAACTTAAGAATTAAAATAAAACGACCACTTACCGATAAAAACCAGTGTACCAGCATACAGATGCACTGCAAGCTGACCACTTAAACGAACAGTCTTTACACTCATCGCACTTACCCAATTGCATTCGTGCTTCACGTGATGAAGTAAAGTAGAAAGCTACTTTTTTTACATGATTGTGAAATCATTTTAAATTCCGTTAGACAAAATTACATGGACTTACCTCTTCCAAGTTCACCAGGGTACAAATTATAACAGTGCTTTATACAAACCTATCAACAGTGTCCATAATCCATAACTTGTTCCAAGTAACAACCGTTAACGCGTAACCGTAGGTTTTCTGATCTTCGAGACTTTAAATAATTCATTGTTGATACTATATTTCGCAACCAGGTACTCAGTAAAATTAAGAAATTAAGTACTCAGTAAAATCTTGTTATTTTCTAAACTGCGTACCGAAAATAACTTATTTATGCTCTAAACTCTGTAATAATGAAACACACACAAGCAAATACACAATAATGAATTTATTGTATAGGAGGAATAGGTCGGCAGTGGTATAATACGACCTCCTAACAAACGCAACTTACATGATACAGAAGTATAAATGAAAGGAAAAATACAAACTGAATCTAAACCCACTCGTACAAAAATTGAATAAATTAAATTCCAATGTGCAAAGGAACATAAAGACGCGAGTCGACTTTATCGTGGACGTAGCCGTCTTTAGCTGAATCTGACTTCCACCTTCCGTGAACTTTAAAAAGCCGATCTGGAACATTCAGATTAGCAGCGGAAGTAGCTCCTCCGGACCTAAAGCTGTGACTACTAAACTTAGAAGGGTCTAACCCAATAGCTTTCAGCTTCCCCTTAAGAATTTCTCCCGCCCTGCTAGCAGTGAGGGGCTTTGAAGACAAGACATTGCCCTTCAAATCCTTGTTGTAGCGTAAGGATCTGAAAATGAAATTCTGAGAAAAAGAAGGAATCCTGGCAGCTTCTAAGTACTTAATAAGGTATGTATAAGGGCAAGTAATATTGCCTGTCTTGGCAATATAAACCCAGGAACCCTCTCTGTACCTATTAGTCTTGCTAACTTCTATGAAAATCTTATGATAGAGATCTTCAGTTACAATATTAGATCTCCTAATGCTTAAAAGCTCGGAAATGCGGAAAAAGCCAGCATATGCAAGTAAACACATACAGACAAACCGGATATCAAGTAAGTTACTACTTTCCCCATAATGCTGCAAAATTAAGCCAAGGATCTCTGGGGTAATGGGCTCCGCCTTCCTGACAGGTTTACGAGGAGCACGACTGGAAGCCTCAACAATAGACCTGACGAGAAAGTTTTCACACGGATTGGGATTCTCAAAACCTGATAACTTATGTACCCAGTTAATAGCGTAAAAAACGCCGTAAATGGTGGAACTACCTAACGAATTTTCTAATAAATGATGCAAATACAAGGAAACTGTGAAGGAAGTAGCTGGGAGAAAAGAAACCTCCCCAGTGCTCTGCAAGCACCACGCTTTAAACTTACAAAATGATTTACAATAATTAATAACTGTGTTATCAGCTCGAGAATTAAAGGCAGAGAGCCAAAACCTCTCACAAAGTAAAACGCCAAACGTCCGACTGGCAGCTGCTTTAACATCTGAAGCAAAAAACAGAGAAAATAAAATGACCAAAGAAAAAATGTGTCAGAAAAATACAACACGTAGTGAAACGAGGTAAGGTTGGGTCCAAGTGGTCCCAAGAAAAAACACAGAAAAATATTACCACTAAGGGCCAAAGTGGCCTTTGCATAATAAAAAAGACCAAGTGGTCCACAAAACAAGGATCCAAGTGCATCCCAAAATACTCGGATACCATGTGGTATGAGCGTAAGAACTCTATAAACTGCAGGGAAAAAACCCCCTACAAGACTGAAAAAGGGGGGGATTACTACGGCCTCTCTAGGAAAACCGCAAGAACAAAACCCCTGAACGAAAATTAGGTGATCCAAAAAGGGAATTTTTATAGTTACCCAATACGAAAACATCAGTACCTAAGGGGATCTCAAAAATATCAGAGAATATGGGAGACAAACCCTCGTCAGTAAAAATTAAAGGCCAAAATGGGGCGGAAGGCCAAGCAGGAACAACAAGTGTAGCGCGACCGCCAAGGGCAACCATGTGATTAAGGACCTTAGGGATGAGAAAAATAGGTGGAACGAGCCAATTATTCTCGCCCGCCCAAGAAACAGAAAAGGCATCAACCGCCTCTGTACCAGGGCACCAAAACCTGCTATTAAAACGGGGCAACTGAGTATTCTCATGATTCGCAAACCGGTCCACAGAATGAGGACCCCATTTCTCTTCGGCCAAAAGGAAATAGTCCCTGTTGACCCGCCAATCATCATAATCCACTATTCTGCTCAAAAAATCAGCTCTATCATTAGCCGATCTCGGAATCCATTCGATTTCCAATGTGATGCAACTGAGCAAGCACATACTAAAAATACGCAAAGCTAAGCATTGCAAATCTTCCTTCATGCTTCCTACTTCAACGATTCTAGCAACACTTTGATTGTCAGTATACCACTTAATAGTGCGCCCTTTAAGTAAAGGCAAAAAAGATTCTAGACCCAGGAAAACGGCCTTAAGTTCCCTGTAAGAGGAGCTCTTCTGCGCCTCATCAACACTCCACAACTTGTGAGAAATGGTGTTGTGAAGATCTAACATATAACTGGCGCAGCCTGTAGAACTCGCATCGGAATAACACACACGGGAATAATGAAACTGTGTAGACAAGAGGCGCCTACTATTTAGGGTAGGAATGTTCTCTTTCCAAAAACATAATTCCTTCAGAGTCGAACCCGACAGGGAAATTTTTCCGTCCCATGTAGGGCTTCTTAAAATATCGAAATGAGAATACCTTGTCATAATACGAGTAACGTTACCAAAGACGAAACCCATAGAGATAACCTTACCTACAAACTGAGCCAATTTTCTAGCAGTACTAGAAGGATACTGAGAACGAATTGAATCAATAACCTGTACGACACTGAGAATCCTAACCGAAGGAATGGAAATAGTATGAACGGCTAAATCAATACAATAACCCAACCAGACTAAACAAGAAGTTGGTTGCCAAATCGATTTACTGTCATTAGGCAGGAAACCAGAAAGCTGAAGCGAAGTCTTAACAAATAATGAGGCAGCTTCGCAGCGAGCGAAATCACGGGCGGAACCAAGCCCGTCATCAAGGTAAACTGTTATTCTCACAGCATGACTTCTCCAATATCGGACGAGAACACGAACAACCTTAGTGAAAATATAAGGAGCTGAGGAGAGCCCAAAAGGGAGTACTGTAAACACAAAAAATTTCCTTACGCCGTTAACAACCCAAGAAAACCCTAAAAAAGTTTGATGATCCTGCAAAATATCAATATGGTGGTAGCCTGATTTGAGATCAAATTTAAACATGAAATGATCGGAAGGAAGATAAACACAAGCGTTTCTAATATCCTCAAACTTAAACTTTTCTTTCCAGATATGTTTATTGACATGCCTGAGGTCTAAAATCAACCTCTTCTTGCCGCAACTCTGTACGGAAACAGACAGGGGATTGACAACATGAGGAGGACTAGATACTTCAACAACTGAACCTGACAAAATAAGCTCTTGAATAGCCTTCAAAACAAAATCAGCGTGCGTAAGTGCTGAATGGTTATTGTCGAAAAACGCATTCTGAGGAAATGTAATAAAGGGTATGGCATACCCCTTGTCAATAACCCGGAGAATGAAATCATTTGCACCTAACGTATCCGCCCAAAAACTAAAATGAGCTTTAAGCCTACCCTTAACCGATTGAATACTATCGGGAGAATTCTCAAATTCAAAACACTCCTCTAAAGCTGGACCTTCGTCAAAAATACCTTCAAGAGTTTCGTTTACTGCTTTACTATCAGCAATGGAACTACTGCTGCCCAGAAGAACCGCTGTCTTTACTTGACAAGCTTTGGATCTGTTTGTAGGGAGTTTGACTAATAGTCGCGGGTCGCGGGTCGCGGGTCGCGGGTCCAAAGTCGCGGTCGCGGGTGCAATGTCGCGGTCGCTGGTCCAAAGGCGCGGTCGCGGGTCCAATGTCGCGGCAGGGGAAAATGATTTGGCCTTCGAGGTAACAGCTGAGTGAAAACGACTGATATGAACACAATATAAAGGGAAAAAATCTTTTTTATGCACAATACTTTACGGTAGCCAATTTACAGGTTACGGATGTTAGAGTCAACAAAATAATGTCTCAAGAAAAGACCTAAAAGAAAAAGCTGGCCGACTTTTGTGTTCAGCGCAAGTTTATTTTTTTTTTCTTTCTGTCGGGCTCAGTTATGTGTAAATTCAGCTTTGAATATACTTATGCATAACAGTATCTGATAAAAAACGTTACCATAAGTTACCATTGCTTTCTTCTTGTCGATGAATTGCTCACAAAAGCTTAAGGGTTCAATTACTGAAAAATATGCGATGCACTTCATAGACTACAGATTATAAACGTTACAACAACTTAAAGCCTTTTTTTTAAAAAAAGCGAACTCGGGCTCAAAAAGCTACGAATCTGTCGGTAGAAGAAACGAGAACTCTTATATTTAACAAATGTTTTCGGCAAAACTGAAAGAAAATGTAAATAGGCGCATGAAACTTCATTCAAGCAGTATTCAAGGCATGAATTTAATATGGAAACAAGTAATAATCCACAGAAAGGAGTCTGTTCCTCGAAGCAAGATTTTCGCTTAATGCTTTTATTTTTACAACTGAGACGGCAACCCAGAGAGTTCAATATAACTTCTTGTTCTCTTCACCCAAATGGCAACCAGGACAACCTGACAATAGGAAGCCATTCGATGTGCGTCTCAGTCAAATCTTGAAAACATGCATCGTAAATAACTAAGTGAGTAAGTAGGTAAGGAAATAATAACGCCCGATATCATGAAGCTGAAAAAGAAAGTAAACCAGACACTGAAAACGGTAAGTTATCAACTCCACCAGAGCTAAGAAAAGACAATAAATTAGGTAAGTAATTCCAGATTCCAGGTACTGGATTCAAGTCTTTGTCAGTAGAACCAAGAGACTATGATCTAGTCTCTCTTAGTAGAACTTGGATTCCGGATTTCAATCGTTATTGGGAACAAACTCCTTTCTGTGGACAAGAGAGGATAAAGCTGGAGCTTGATCCCCTCTTGCTGTGGATTATTACTTGTTTTTTATTAAAGTCATGCCTTGAATACCCGCTTGAATGTACTTTACTGGCACTTCAAGCCCAACGTCTCTCCTCCTCTTTCCAGTTACTTGTGCAAAGAGTTTATTTTGGTAGTTTGCGACTTTTACGCGGGAAATCTTTTAGAGGACGGGTAGCTTGCAAACTAAACTGAACGTAGGGTTGTCGGAACAGCAACAAGAAGATTTATCCCAAAGATGAACGTAGTTTCCACTGATTAAAACTCCACAACAGCACGTAACTCGTTAAACTTACGTGGCCTCCGCCAACTTGAATAAAAACTGCCTTCGTCACACTTGACTAAACACGACCAACGTCAAACTCTCTTCGCTTGTGAAAACTAGTTAAAACTTAACTCGGGCTCGCCTACCTTATATACGTTTACAATAAGATTCTAGAACTTTCCAAAGAGTCCAATTATAGAAAGATTACAAAATATACCGCTTTTAGACACGCTTACACAAGATCCTAAAATAAACAAATTATGAACTCTCGCGAAGCTTCTAGAAAGTCACACTAGTCACGCAATACAATTTTTCGTAACAGCGACCAGGAAATTTTTCAACAAGTGTTTTCTTTATTTTTGCCGAAAACATTTGTTAAAATTGAAACAGTTCTCGTTTCTTCTACCGACAGACTCGTAGCTTTTCGAGCCCGAGTTAGCCTTTTTTATAAAAGGTTTTAAGTTGTTGTAACGTTTATAATTTATAGTCTATGAAGTGTATCGCACATTTTTCAGTGAATGCACCCCTAAGAATTTGTGAGCAATTCATAGACAAGAAGAAAACAATGGTTACTCATGGTAACATTTTTTATCAGATACTGTTATACATAAGTATATTCAAAGCTGAATTTACACTTAACTGGGCCCGACAGAAAGAAAACAAAATAAACTTGCGGTGAACACAAAAGTCGGCCAGCTTTTTCTTTTAGGTCTTTTCTTGAGACTCTTGAGACATTATATTGTTGACTCTAACATCCGTAACCTGTAAATTGGCTACCGTAGAGTATCGTGCACAAAAAAGATTTTTTCCCTTCATATTGTTTTCATATCAGTCGTTTTCAAATCATTTTCCCCTGCCGCGACATTGGACCCGCGACCGCGACTTCGGACCCGCGACCGCGACATTGGACCCGCGACCGCGACATTGGACCCGCGACCCGCGACCCGCGACCCGCGACTATTAGTCAAACTCGTTTGTAGGTTGATCCGGGAGTGAAGAATAAGTTGGGGCAACTTGCTCTCCAATGGCCGGTCTTGCCGCAGGCGAAGCAGATGTCATAACGGCCTTTAACAAAGGCGCCCTTTGACGTTTGAGGACAAAAATTAGTAAAATTTCTTGGAGTGATAGAGGAGACAGCCGATGAAAACCCCGAGGAAGTCTCTGGACGCTGAATGACCTGTAAAGAAAAAAGGAAGAAAGAGGAAAACTAAGTGACGGTCGATTACACCCACTGAAAAGACCTAAAGTAAGAGCACAACACGTGGTGAACCTATTTAAACACAACCCAACAATAAGCGTGATGAACACGCCTGAATGCAGTACGCATTACGTAACCTCCATTCGCACGCATAATTCCCAACGCACCGAGCATAAAAACATTTATTTTCTAAACTGCGTACCGAAAATAACTTATTTATGCTCTAAACTCTGTAATAATGAAACACACACAAGCAAATACACAATAATGAATTTATTGTATAGGAGGAATAGGTCGGCAGTGGTATAATACGACCTCCTAAACGCTAAAGAAAATAAAGAACGGGCAAAGGAAACGAATAAAAATAACAGATAAAATACTCAACTTCTGTCCCGACTTCGCACTGCGAGCGTTTTTCTTCTTTCGCAACGCCCTCTGCTCCGCAGCTCGGATCTTCTTCTCGTCTTCAGAACCAGAAGCGACTTCGTCAGAAAGATACTCGTCGACTGCGGCCCAGCCAGCCTCCGATTTATCCGCTATTCTGATGAGCTTGTTTCTTCGCTTTATGGCCTTTGAAGCAACGTTGAGGGAATCGTCGAGCTTAAGAATCAGCGCTGAAACTTGATGATTCTCAGAGTTTTCAAGATCAACCAGAGATTTCAGCGAATCGACAAAAGAAAGACTCTGAGTGACGTGTTCCAAAGTCTCAGTATTAAACTCGAACTGTTTCTTGTTGCCGCTAAACTTGAAGCTTAAGCTCGTTTCGGTCTTAAGTTTCTTCACCAAGGATGAAGACGATTTGAGTTGATCATCAGAAAGCTCACGCTTTAAATGTGAAAATTTTTGATCAAAGTAAGACCTTAAGTCTTTAAAAGACCCAACAGAGATAACTTTGGGATCCTCCACGCCTTCCTTATCAGACATGATAAGCAAGCAAGAAACTAAGTGACGGTCGATTACACCCACTGAAAAGACCTAAAGTAAGAGCACAACACGTGGTGAACCTATTTAAACACAACCCAACAATAAGCGTGATGAACACGCCTGAATGCAGTACGCATTACGTAACCTCCATTCGCACGCATAATTCCCAACGCACCGAGCATAAAAACATTTGCTCTTGGACCATTATTTGCGCGCTTCGAAATTACTATGACTGAACATGCGCTGTCACGAAATGACGGGTCGTACGTCACGCGCGGAGTCAACTGGGTTCCAGAGGCCCGTTTCTCGAAAGTCCCGATAATTAACGGGCCCGGTAAGCTGTCTCCGTTTACATTAAAGATCGAGGTTTCAATAGTTTTGCATCTAGCATGATAAAACTATCAGTTAGTGAAACAAAGTGGAGTAGTTTGCTAGTCAGGACCCGCGCTCTTATTCTTTATATTTCGATCTGAATATTTGATTTCGGGCCCGAAAAGTTACCGGGACTTTCGAGAAACGGGCCCCAGAATTTCCCGCGTTTCTTCTTGCCCACATGTCGCAATGGCTTTAACGCCCTTAGACAGTGAAAATAATTCAAGTGAAGGATAATCAATCTGTTCCAATGAATTTGTTTTTGTTCGTAAAAGAAAGAGGAATTTTTCGCACTGGAGCAGGTGCACTGGAGCGACTCTTCAAGCTCCTCGACCATATCTACGGAAGCAAATTGTTAAGATGCAACCTCGAAGGCACATTGGGCTATTGCATTTAATATCCGCACCGCCCTCCCCCGGTTGACGAACCATGGAATTCTCCAGGGGGTAAGTTATAAAAATTGAGGATTTCTTTAGGGGTAGAGTAAAAAAATATGGAATTCTTTGGGGGTGAAGCCTTAATTTTCACACAATTCTTCAGGGGTAAACCCATATTCTTCAGGGGTATGACCCAATTCTTCAGGGGTAAACCCATATTTTACGGAAGTCTTCAGGGGTGAATGCAATTTTAGCCAATCTTAAGGGGTAAGAAGAAAAGGCAAGTCCTCAACCGGGGGGTACGGATTGTAATTGCAATAGCCCATTTCTCAAACGACTCATGTTCAAGTGATGACTCAGAAATAAGAATACGCCATCATCGAAAATAGGTAGCGTCTACAGCAGTGAATGTAGCTCTGAAGAAGTGATATCACAAGACATCGGTGATGACAGCAAGCCAGACGATTCAGCAAAGAATGAACGTGAAAGTTCCATCTATCCAGGTTCGACTTTCACTAATGGCAATTTTGATGCATTGTTGCTAGCCTTCTTTAAAAAACTTCATATTTCAGAATCTGCAAAGGAAGACTTGTTGAAGTTGTTGGAACTAACTTTGCCCGATGGCAACAATACAGCTACCTCTTCCTACATGTTTAACAAGAGACACAGAGACTGTTTACTCTCGTACAGTCTTATTGAGCTCTGCCCGAAATGCCACAAGAAAGTCGAAAAGGAATTGTGTAACAACGACGATTGTGAAGATAAAGGTGTGAAAATCGACCCTCTTAGATTTTTTGTTCTGCCATTAAAACCGCAAATTCAAAGATTAACTGAAGGTAGGAAACCAACCATTATTGTATTTCTTTTTGGGTTCCATTTTTCTTTTTGACCGGGGTCATCGGCAGGGCTTTTGTTCAGAAAACTCATAGGAATTATCCCAGGGGGAGGAGGGGGGAGCTCCCAAACATTTCGCATATATGTGTGCCGCCTAGAGTCTTAAACCCTGACCCTATTTATGGATGAGGCAAATAAAAAGTCATACCCAAATGTATAGCCCAAAACTAAGGAATGAGATCCAATTAAAGGAAAAAGAGAAAAGGTGAGAATTGAAAGGAAACACACACTTCTCTAAGGTACAGTTCAGGGACTTCTCAGAAATTAGCAGGGGGGTGGGGAGGGGTGAGAATTTTAAATTTGGGTTCGGAAATGAGGTGACCCATCCCTGCAATGGGAGTGAAATTTGCTAACCCTCCCCTTGACCTTGGCCTAAAATATCATGACCCTCCCCCTCTTGTATAAACGATAAAATCTAGTTCTTGCAATACACTAGGGTGAGTCAGTATTGTGAAAGCTCAAAATATATTTCTAATCTGTTCTTTGTAATGCGATATACATACATTTTAGACGACAGCATTAAGAGTCCAACTCTGATTCTGACAGCTGATCACTCGACTCTCCTATTTCTCCCAGTTTTTTTTTTTTTTTTTACAGAATAAAGAACTTCTTTTTTCTTCTGTGGGTGAACCTCTACATGATCACGGACACATATTTGCATGGCCCTCCCCCTTTTAACGGTCCATTTTTCATGACCCCTCCCTTTTCTGCAGTCTCAAAAAGTTGTGACCCTACCTCTGTTTCCAACCTCCCCCTTCCCCCTGCTAATTTTTGACAAGTCCCTCAGTTTAAACAGATCATTTGTTTTTTATGTATCTGGGCATTTAAACGCACATAATAATATTACTCTATGTATAGGGATCACACCTGGATTACAACACTGGTGCATACCTTATTTACCTGATACATTTCTTTATTTCTTTTTTGACGGGAAACACTTAATGTAATTGATTTCAGGGCTGAAGGTATTTTAACTGGTTCTGGAATACAGATATAAACAGAATTTTGTTTGGCCAAAAGAAACTTAATCTGCACCTGAAACGTAATGAATAAAGGAAGTACCCAACCCCAAGTAATCTCGACAGTTTAGAGCGCATTATGTCTGTGTCTGCTCGTTAAGACAGCTAATGTCAAAGTGGTCATGAAACACAAGAAAATTAAAATTCCAGTTGTTTGCTCAGACATGCCACTACCAATAGTGTGCCGGTGTAGGTTAACTTCATTGGCTAATATCATTATTTCCATGTTAAATTGTAGAACATTGGAAACAAATTGTCGAGTACAGTGACCAAATGATAAGAGAAGCAAATGATGAGTATCTGGAGGGACATACAGGATGGTAGAGTTTATCAAAAGTTTTCCCAGAATGAACCACATGCAAGAGGAAAAAGAGCTTATTCAATAGTCATGAGTTGTGATGGGGGCTCCTCTCATTAAGTCAAAGAGCTTCAGCATTTGGCCACATACGTGCTTCCTTGTGGAATTACCCCCACAAGAAAGGTACAAGTTTGATAACATTCTACTAACTGGGCTCTGGTATGGAAAATCTAAACCAAATGTGCCAGTTTTCCTTAAACATTTTGTAAATGAGCTGTCTGACCTGGCAAATGGTACTGATTTTGAAGATGATACTGGTCAACCAATACCTTCTGTTTGTCGTATTCAGTCAATCGTACCTGATCTCCCTGCCAAAGCTCTTTTCCTCAACATCAAGCAGTTCAATGGCCAGTTTGGTTGCAGCACCTGCAAGCATCCTTGTCGTTATGACAGGGAGTTGAAAGCAAGAGTCTTTGATTCTAAAATGCATCTACCAGCATTCAAATGGCCTGGGTACCTTTTGAATATTAGCAGGGAAAAATGTGTCATGAACTACTTGTCAGCAAATTAACTTTTAGAATTGGTACCTCTTAGGGGTAAAAATTGATTCGTTTAAAAATTTCCGACGCTCATCCCGTCACCTTTATGTGGGAGGTCCCCCTCCCCCGGGCACTGAACATTATTTTAACATGACCACAAGTGAAATATACATCAATGTGCCTTTTCTTAATCGCTACCTTATTAATTTGTGGTGCCCATCAATATGCCACAAAGTATTTGGCCCATAAACACTGTAGGATCTTCTTTGTATAGCATCCATCCAACTAAGTACGGTGCCTTCCGGATCGGTTCGAATCATTGATGCTCTTACTCTTGCGTGCTGGATGACTATGCCCCGACGGGTCAGCTCACCCATGCCAACATACGACGATATCCAATGTCGGGAAACAATGCCTGCACGTCTCTAACAACGCCGTCTAAATCTTCGTCGGAAATGGTGGAATACGGTAATAGGTTTACCAAACCGTACTCACGAATCCTACGAGCCACAATACTTAGCGAAACGCGTAACATGTCTGCTACCTCTCTTCTTGAAAATCGTTCTGTGAGAAAATATAACAGTTATTCTCTACTGATCCGGTAAGAAGGTCTTCCACGGCCACCAGAGTTTAGTAAAGCTGCTCTGTAACCCGTTTCCTCACTTTCTACTCGTTGTGAACAAAAAGTGAATTTTTCGTAGGCGAACATGATGCAGTTCAGAACACTCGAATCTAAAACATTGGCGGTTACAAGTCTGGCTACCTGTCGTGCTAGCTGTTCGCCACGAAAACACAGTTCATCTAATGTTTCATGCTCCACGTTGTTCGCATGAAGCTCCCGCTGCACATCGTGAATCATTCCCGCTATTGTTGGTTTTCACGTGACGTCACTAAAATTCAAACTAAAAAACTATCGATCCTACAGAGATTTTACTTTCACGATGCATTAGAGCAGCTGAAAACTAATTTTCATACAAATTTTCGCTTCAAAAGGGTTCTTGATTTTGTGATAGAGCACGCTTGAATTTCTAAGCTTTTGCGTGACGAGGCATTTACATGACGGCCAAGAGAGCTGTCATGTAGGTTAAAAAAATGTCTTATTTCCGGAAATTTTGCTATCTAAACAGTTCTTGTATTAGAAAAAGTATTACTTTAATGTTTATGAGTTTCTCGAAGAATTAATTCTCGCTTTTGTGGCAAAAGTCGGTAACAGATGTTTCTGTTGGTTTCCGTCCGCCATGTTGGAGCTCATCCAGGCGAGCGGGCCAGCATGGCGTCTCCATACAAATCTCTATAAGTTTGGGAAAAACATTTCTTCGGATATCTCGTATACGAAATATTCCTCTGACCTGAAACTTGGCGAGGGTCATTGTATATGTACCTCCTTTCATTTCCCAGATTCTGGCCTTTATCTATTGAACGGTTTTTATTTTTGTTTTGATCTATTTTGAATGGCGTGACACTGAAAACCAGCAATTCTTGTTATGAACGTCTGTCGAAG